TGGCTAAAGAGCACATCAGTTTCGTGCCAATCTAAACGACTTCCGCACTGCTGCCTAACTTGAGCATTATGTGATGTTCCAATCGACGTGGTGCCAACTGCCGACTCATCGACCAGAGCATGTATTTACACAAAAAGATGGTCATTACAGTGGCTGGGAAAATGTTTATGCAAATGCAAGTTATTTCATAAGCACAACAGACTTTGAGCACGTGCCCCATGTGAAGGACTGCTTGTACTATTAAATGTCAAAAAATGTCTTGCAAAATTGCGGGACCGCAACCACAACGAGAGAACATGCTTTAAAAAAGTTCCAGACAACACTACACTAATTTTGTAATATGTAGACAGGCAGAAAGAGAGAGAAAACAGAACGCAAAGCTTTGCATAAACAACGCAGCAATGAATAGCAGCCGCCGCATGAATAATATTGTTATTTACATATAAATAGTAAACAGAAACGAATACTTATGATGATGACCTACAAGCGAATGTAAAGCGTGAAACAGCAGAAACGAACTCTTTACCTGTACTTCTCGAGCGGAGTCGCGATTACATGCGAATCAGCTGCCGTGGAACTTTTTGAGGGAGCGGCAGAGGCGGCGGTACCAGCAATGGAACTTTTCTGAACGGGGGAGGCGGTAGCGTCCTCTGACAAGCGGGGCACCCCCACACGTTCATGGTCGCCACTGATCACGAGGCTAGTCGTCGGCGGCATCTGCGAGTTAAAACTTGAAGAACCGGCTGAACAAACCTGTGAAGACGGCGAAGACGACGACGACGAAGACTGTGCAGTAGAGAGGGGCGGTGGAAGAGACAAGTTGTTCCGGAAGCTCGGTGACGTTGTGCTCAGGTGCTGAGCTACCGACGGGTACTGGTGATGGACCTGCAGGTTCGGTGGTGGAACATTGCTGATAACCGACCGCAGACCGACATGAGTCGCCACAATGTAAGGTCCAGAAATGCCACTAGTCGCGCTGCTACCACCGCAGACGTTCGTCGCCGATCCGGTAACGATGCCTGGTGGTGTGGCAGTAAATGAAGAGTTGGAAATCGTCGACGACGACGTCCAAGGGGTGAGCGAAGAGACATGCGTCCCCTGTGCAGATCTGACCAAAGACGCTGACGACATCGAACTGGCGGGGATTAATCCCGCGCCCGAGTTCACCGTTAAACCTTCGATGAAGAACTTGCCAGCCGCAAAGTCGCGTTGCACCGCCGGAAGCGTATTCTAAAAGCGACAAAGAGCCGAGCTGCATCAAACAAAAGAAGCAAAGCAAAAATGAAAGCTGTAGTTTCCAACGTGACCGAAAATCGAGATCGGACTTCTTCAGTAAATAGAACGTCTTACTCAAAGCCGAGAGGTGCCGGATGATTCGAGCCCTGGTCATTCTTTTTTCTGAGGTTGATATACGAGTACTACTCAACAGGAAGCAAACAGACACTACCCACTACGCTTGCCACGGAGCTGCTGTTGAGTCTGCCTTTAAAATAAGGAAATGGAGATCAGCTTCGCACGAAAAACTTCGAGAAGAGAGGGGCGCCAGAATGGCCCTATCACGGAAATGTAAGGAAGGCCGGCATTTCAAAGGTTTCATAACAAACCTTCCGTCCTTTTCCTTTTGGGTTCCTCGCCTAGAGTTTATCATCACACTCTTTAAGCTACGTACGTATGCATCATGGGATAACAAAAAACAACCGAATCTCATACAGGGTGAAGTTCAACATCTGGAACTGAAAAGACAGAAACCGTTACAGGAGAGTCGCAGAATGTTTTCGAATTTACTAGTCTGCTGATATCACCACCTTGCTGTTTCAGCGGCTGAGTTGCTCTTCAGTCTACGATGACCGCTGGACTCACAGAAATGCGATATTTGCTACCGTTCCATCAAAAGGAAGTATAAACCACCTGCAAAATGTATGTATGCATGAGCTTTTGCTCATTTGTATCATGCATTTGCATAGAAAGTCTACAAATCTTGCATTCCGTGACACA